CATATTATGGGGTCAAGGCGAGGTTGACGCGCTCCAGTCGCAGCAGCATGTTGAATCGCTCGCGGCCAAATAAATTTCTCGCAATTTTGTTTTGCAGGAGATGTATTATTTTTTCTTGCATTTGCTTTACGTTTCAGCTTCTTTTCTTTTGTCAACATTTATCCAGTTCCTCAATCATACACATATCCAACCTCCTTTATTTTACCCGTGATAATCTCCATTTCCCGGCATTGTATCTATCGTTGTTTTCTATTTCGATAATGGTTTTTATATTGTCAGGTATGGCCTCTTTTCGTAAAATGGTGCCGGCTTCGGCACTTATTCACGAAGGAGGAGATGACGTGACGGAGAAGAAATCGAGAAATGAATATCGTAAAGAGAAGGATCTTGAGGTAATCTTTTGCAAGTTTCTAATGGAGATTGTTTTATAAACGCAGCAGAAAACCTTTTTTAAAGGAGGAGCGTAAAGCAGGAACAGCACCGGCAATGGTTGATGTCAAAACAGGAAGAGATATCAATCCGCACATCCCGCAGTTCATCTCACAAAATCCTTGGTATGTGCCTAGCGAAGGACCTACATTGGAGGTAAGCAGTTTTCTGTGATTGCATTAGAGGCCTGTTATTCAGATTACTTTGTTTAGCATCAACGTCCTCATGCTGAGCGACAGAAGCATATGGCTACTATTGATGAGTGGTACAAGAAAGGGACTACGGGGAAAGCTGCGACAAAGTTCAGAAAAGGTTTGGAGGAAATTCATCAAAATTCTTTTTCATCAGTTTTTCTTGCTCAGGATGTTAAACTATCTTGCTTTAGGCGCATGTGAGAACTGCGGTGCATTTGGTCACAATAAACGCGACTGTTTCGAACGGCCTCGTAAATTAGGGGCAGCGTAAGTCATTTTTTATTCTCTAAAACTTGGCCGGTTTTTCATTGTTTTCCGTTCGCATTTTTTCCATCTTTTCAACTTATCAGTCTTAATCAACTAAACCACTTTTGTCATAAACAGCTTCA